CCGATACATTGTAGAATAGACTATTCTGAATAGTAAACCAAAGTCTGCACGGCCGCACCAGTCGGTTGCTACATAATTACTCGTCAGTCGACGTATACCATAGTGTCACTGTATTTTTACAATTACCAGAACAGTAAATAGCGAATAGCAGTAACACCAATATTAGTAAATAATAATTTATTAAAATATGCACTTATTATTCTTTAATTTTATTAAATGATTAATTTTAATATTTCTATTAGTCTTTAAAGTACCTAGTATATCTTCGTATTGAGGCATTAAGATATAGTCTGTATCATTATATGTACCTTTACTTATAAAATAATACTAAAGTCTAAAATTGTAATTATAACTAATACGGCGGAGCATGTAAATTCCACCGATTGTGAACTTTTTAGACCTTTTTTCATGTAAATTCCACCGTTATGTTTTTTTACCTGAAAAAAAATGTAAATTCCACCAATACGTTTTTCCAAATCTAATCTGATTAACTAAGATCACATAATATTTTTATTGTATTTAGATACAATAATTTAATAAAAAATCATATAATAATCAAGAATTATCACTATTAACTATAGTTAACTATTATTATTAAGTAGGTAATAATAAATCAAAAAATAAAATAAAAAATATATAATTATTAATAATAGTGACATTATATGTAGGTAATAGGTACCTACATAATTTATGTACAAATGTATTATTTATACACATTATATTTAGATACTTATAACTTTTTTTACAGAAATTTAAAATAAAAGATATAATAATCAATAGTTAAACGTTAGTTGAAAAAAAATTTTAATTAAATCCATAAAAAATATATGTAATACAATTATTAATTATAATTTATCAATAATGAACAGCTAGTTAATAGTAAAAAAATGATTACTTACAACAAATTTAAATTTTGGATTGAAAATGTTTAGATGCAGCTTTGACGAATTCCAAAATGGTTATAATAATATTGCTTTCCTTGAATGACGAAATGATGGTGCTTAAATATTTTTGGGGTGTTTTTGATTGTGAATTTCTAAGGTTATTACTTAATTAGGTTCGTTAATGTTGTTTAATTTAATATAAGTGAATGTTTGTGAGGTTTTGTACAGTCGAAAGTTGATGTGTAGCTATAATATATATTAGCTATACTAAAATTAGTTGTAATCTGTGGACTGTGGATTTTACCATCAGTGGAGTTTACGTGTTTTCAGTTCAAAAATATGTAGGTACTGGTGGAATTTACATTTTTTTTTTAGGTAAAAAAAAGTATCGGTGAAATTTACAATCGAACATAATACGGTTATACCTATTTACATACATTATTACATGTTAAATTTATTGAAGATAAATTTTTTTACATTTTTTTTTATTTAAAAGTGCTTGATTGGTTAAGGTTTGGAAAAATACGTTTACAAACATTTTGTTATTCTCAGTGAGTATTTTGTTTATCATATCTTATTATTATGGTCGAAGGGCCCCTAAATTAATTTGCCCCTGGCCCCGAAAAACCTTGGGACGGCCCTGCACATTACTACTTCTATACTACTCAAATATTATATCAGACGAATACAATTAATTTAATTAAATATAATTAATTTTACATTTTTACCTCATATTGCCGCCAAAACATCATCAATATTGTTGAAAAAAATGTTTTATCACTTTTGGCTATGATAACATAATCATAATAACAAAAATGTTTGACCAGATAGCAATTATTAAAATTACTTAAGCACAATAGTTCATTTTGCCCCATGCGCCATGACACCCCAGGTTACTCTATTGTTAGCGTAAGCGCTGTAATCGCCGAATCGTCCAAGGCGGACGGCATTTTGTGATCAATATCCAACAACGCTAAACGTCCGAAATTGTTCATAAAATTGTTCTCGTGTTTACAAAGCGGTTACAATCCAAATCCAAATCGAGATTAAGGTGAGTTAAACCACAGAATAGATTACTCTATTCTAAAGATTGGTCTTGCCCTGTCTTAGGTATTTAAATTTAGTATTAAGTTTGAACACGATAATGATACCTACTAAAACGAATTACAATTTTTAAATTTTATATTTCAAAGGTGTTAGGTAGATCAGTGAAAGAAATGGATACCATTCAAGTTTCATCTTGTGAAAATAATCTAAAGCAAATTCTAAAACGAAATTATTGTGAACCAAGAAATTTTAGAAATGACTCTCACTCTGTGAGAATACTAGAAGATTTACAATCTCTACGCAAGTACGTTTAGAGCCATTTCGCCTTCATTCAAAATAAATATCAGTAACACATTTTTGTTTTCAGAAATGAAATTTTATGTGATGTTAGATTTGAAGCTGACGATGGTAAAATCGTTATTGGACATAAAAATGTTTTAATAGCCGCTAGTCTATATTTCCGTGCAATGTTTAGTAATTTTGATGAAAGCAATAAAGATGTTATTAATATAAGAGAATTGGATTCCAATATTTTACAACTATTAGTAGATTATATCTATACTGGAGAGATTATAGTCACAAAAGAAAATGTACAGGTATAATTAAATATTTGATTTGATATAGATTTCAAACAACAGAAATTTTATGTGAATTATTGTTGATTCCCTAGAGGTTGTTACCAGCTGCAAATATCTTACAGTTAGATTATGTAAGTAGTGCATGTGCTGAGTTTTTACAAACACAACTGGATCCATCAAATTGTCTTGGAATCAAAGCATTTGCGGATTTACATAACTGTATGGAATTGTTGTTGAGTTCTGAAGCTTTTATTAAAAAACAGTTTATGTAGGATATGAATTACAATTTAACTATCTGTTTCGATTAGTAAATTGTATAATTTATTTTTTATGTTTTTAGACAAGTGGTTAAATGTGATGAGTTCCTATCTTTGTCTTTCGAAGCAGTTGTTAAGCTAATATCTTGTAATGAAATCACTGTACCATTTGAAGAAAAAGTAAGCAAATTAATTTTATAATTATATTTAATATTGTGAATGGAAGATAAATTTACTTAACATATAAATTTAGTAGGTTTATTGTACAGAGGGTCTGGAGGGAGTATTTTGGAATAATATGTATAATATGTATCTAGGGTTGGGATTTATCTAGATAAAATTATTTCTTTAATTATCTTATCTAGATAAAAATAATTAAATCGTCTACCTAATTATCTCATCTAGATAAATGTAATGTTCATCTGTGGTAATTTATCTAGATAAATAATAGAGTAATAAGAATATTTTTAAATACTGAAATAGCCAATAGTTTACGAGAACCGAGTAGTGATTCCAAATTCCAATAAATATTATAGTTAAAAAAATTAAATGTTTACTGAAATATTGTCAGTTTTATTTTTTTTTTTTTTGTATTAAAAAATTAAATTTGTATATTGTTTTAGTTGAAAAATGACATAATTTATTAATTAATAAAAATTAAATTACTAGTAGTTAGTAATTAGCACTAATTACTAATAAATTACATTATTTATAATATAATTTAAAAACAAATTATCTATTTTTTTATTTAGATAAATGTATGTATATTTTTATCTTTATCTAGTTAAAAAAAATAATGTTATATTTTATCTTATCTAGATAAATTTTGAATGAATTATCTGTCATCTTATCCAGATGATTTTTTGGTTATCTTTTCCCAATACTGTAATGTATCTATAATGCATATGATAACGTAAGTTGTGTTGAGATTTAGACATTTAAGTATTAAATTTCTACCAACTACATACCTAGGTATTATATTTAAATTTTATATTTCTCAAAATAAGCCTCAATAAGGTAGAGGCTGTGAGACTGTAGCTAAAAAATTATAAATAATTAGACTATCTAGTATCTACACAACCATTGTAGAGATTTGTTGCAATCTCTTAGGCTATAATAAAGTGACACTCAGCCCTACTAATTTAATAAAAGTCATCGCCTTAAAGTACCACCTGTGGTCAATCTCATTTTAGACAGAGTTTTAATTTATCAATTATCAGAAATATTTGTTATACTAGTATAGGTTTTATAAATTAATCATATTTATATTTTAAATTAAAAGTACAAGTGCAGCTAATATACATTTCTTGGTTTGCTATTAGAAGGCAGAAACCAAAAGATTATAATAGAAATTCTCTAATAGTCTAATATAAAAAACATAATAAATATGAAATCCAGCATTGCAAAATGCTTTGAATTTGTTATAATATTCTTTATTCTTTTTATGGTATAACAAATACATATTATTTTAGTTAGGGCAAAAATAGATTGAGCCCCACATATCTTATATAGTTAAATATAATAATAATAATATTCAAATTTAATATGATATTTCTTTGTTGTTGTAGGTATATGAATGTATTATAAATTGGGTAAACCATGAATTGGATCGTAGAATAGAATTTTTGCCTGGATTAATGGAGCATGTGCGTTTGCCATTAGCTTCAGTGGAGTACATATTAGAAAAAGTAGTTGAAGAACCTCTCATTAAAAATAGTTCTAAATGTATGTGTTTCATTATAAATATTCCTTTATTATTTATTTATATTTATATAATATACAATTATATTTTTTAGGTAACAGTTATGTAATAGAAGCTTTACATTTCCATTTACATAAATTTAAAAAACAAATCACAATTCCACAAACAATTCGTAATTCGTTTAGACAGCCTGGTGGTTTTCCTTTGCAAAAAGTATAGTTCCCTTAAGAATTATTATTCATTTATCTTAACAATTATTTTATCCTTTTTTTTATTATTTCAGGTTATCCTAGTTTTAAGTTGGAATACAACAATGGAAAACAGTTTCATAAACTGGTATGACCCAACAACCAACCAATGGGACATTGTACCTGAAATGACTAAGTGCCGTTACTCAGCTGGTCTAGCGCTAATAAAAGATACATTTTTGTTTGCTGTGGGCGGTGTTGATGAGTCAAGTTCAAGGGATTTTCGATCTGTTGAAATGCTTGATTTAACTTCCCAATCAAAAATTTGGGTACCAACAGTCGACATGTTAATTAGTCGAACATATTTGGGAGTTGCTGTATTAGATGATTGTACATTATATGCTGTAAGTTATACCAATATATTTCATTTATTATGTCATAAATATGATATAAAATATATATTTTATTAAATGCTAGGTTGGCGGATCCGATGGTGATTTTAATCCATTAAATAGTGTAGAGATTTTTAATGTTAGTATTGAAAAATGGCAAATGGTTTCCAGTATGACAATTAAGAGAGTTAATTTGGGTATTGGAGTACTCAATAATCATATATACGCGGTAAATAAATATTTTATTTTTCTATTTTAAAATTATAATTTGTTTCCTTAATTAAATTGTGTAGGTAGGAGGTCATGATGAATCGTATGAATTGAAATCCGCTGAATATTATGATCCCACACTTGACACATGGACAAGAATTGCTGAAATGTCTGTATGTCGAAATGGTGTTGGTGTAGGAGTTTTGGACAGTGTAATCTATGCTATTGGTGGTGAAAACGAAGCAGGAACTCTCAAAAGTGCAGAGACTTATAAACCAAGTGACGGTGTATGGACTTCTATTGCTGATATGCATGAGTGTCGATCATTTCCTGGTGAATAATATCAATAATTTTTTTTCAAAGAAAATTTTTTTATGAAAGTATTGAATTTGAATTACATTTTTTAATTTAGGAGTAGTTGCGTTTAATGGTTTACTGTATGTTATGGGTGGATTGAGCCAAAATTCAACTCAGAATTCCTTTGAATTTTACAATCCTGCCACTAATTCATGGACAATTGAGAGTATTGATTCAAATATTATTGATGCTATTTATGCCGCCGTAGTCTTTAATAAGCCACCATTTTTTAGATTTACTTAGCTAATTAGCATACAATAGGTCTCATTGTTTGTACCTAGCTATAATGTTTACTTATTTGTGTGACAAAACAATAAAACATCCATGTATGTTTTTCTAGAATACATTTTAGATTTTTTGAATGTTTATTTAAAATATTTTTGACTTAATTAATATTATATACATACATAACTTGATTTTTTTTTTAATCAAATAAACAAGCTACAAAATGAATTATATTATTATGTATTTTGCCAGACAGTGCCATACTCTCTGGGTGTCTTGCGTCTATGAGTCAACAAATTGTTGTTTTATTGTTCAGCAATAATTAGTAAATTTTCTGTCAGCGAATTAACGTGTGTCAGTGATATAAATGTATTATAAATATTAAAGTCGTCCGATAGGGACTCACTTTATAATTTATATACACATCAACGAATAAATAAAGAAGTACAAATTGCAATAAATAGTGAATCCATTATAGTTGTGCATTGCGTTGCTACAATTCAGTATTCACAAATAATTGTGGTAATTATACCTGTACTTTATTTGTACAGTTTATAATTATTTATTCATAGGAGGTATAGCTCAAACACCTCGTACGGGCTACGAAGCAATCTAGTCAACGTTTATTATTACAATTTATAAGGTATCATCCAAAAGTTATTACCAAAGAATATATTACATTTGAAAAACACATTTACAAAAAATAATGGATTTTGAAATAATAAGAACTTTTTTTCGTAAAAGTCATTTAAAAAAAAAAATAATGATATTTCACATATAATGTTGTGAAATATATTTTATATAAATTTGGAGTTTTTAGTATTACTACAGCCTGATAATAGAACCACTATTCCGCGCAAAACTGTTTTTACTGTGTTTATACATATTTTGTAAGACGGGACACCACATGCGGGTGTAGGGTCCTCTTATTGTTTGAGGTTTTGAATCATGATTACAATTTACAGTTCAATTGAATTAATCCTATTTATTTTTAATTGTTTTTTATTTATTTATTATATAGGTATTATGTGAATTCTGACAGTATTATACCTTCTACCGTTCAGCAGTGGCGTATATATATCCACCACTGTTGTTCAGTATAAGGTATGTTCGAATTGCACTTATTACCTAAAAATATATGGTCGAATTGCACTTGGGTTCAAAAAAGGTAATGGTCGAACTGCACTCGGGTAAAAATCAGCTAGTAGTCGAACTGCACTCGTTCAAAAATAGGAGTTAAAATTTTAGGCCACTATGGACCTTCACTATTATTATTATAATAATATTTGACGAAATAATAAAAAATTATAAAAAAATTATATATAATATAATATTATAACTACAAAAATTATCAAAATTAGCTAAAAGAAAAAAGTTATAATAATGACAACAATAATATTTGAGGATTTAATTAAATATGTTATAATTATGCAGTATAATATATAATGGACAATGGTATGTCGTATGTATATACTATGTATAAAACAATCATTTTAACTACGACAATAATTAAAATCATTGTCAGTTCAAATGCATGATATTTTTGTTGAAGTAGATTTTTTGAGCCAAAGTGCAGTTCACCCACTACCTGTTTTTTACCCGAGTGCAGTTCGAGCATTACCATTTTTAAACCCAAGTGCAGTTCGACTAAAATAAGTGCAATTCGACCATACCCGGTATGTTGATGTGCATATTATGATGTACCATATTTTCGCACAGGTATAAACAGAGGACGAGCAAATGCAAATTGACCGTATGAGTACATATTTTATGCATATGGGTAGGAGATTCAACATTACGATCAAATATATCATACCTATATACAGTAGCGTACGCAGGATTTTAGTTCGGTTTGGGTTTCACCTGAGTAAATAATTTACATTATTTTTTTCTAAATAGTTCATATGTCATTGGTTATAACAAATTATAATTAGTCTCAAATGTAGTCTACATTAAGAACACTCGAGTGTTCAATCTTGACACCTATGGTCATCTATAGATCCTCTTCGGGTCGTAATATGTGGTAATATTATCGATGGACGGTGATACATGATGATACACCATATGACGGTTATGACAGATGTTTAGCAATGTTCTGAATCAGCCAAAAAACTGAAACTATGATTATTGACGTCTTTGTCATATTTAACAATTTATATTATATCTATTAAAAATGACCAACAATTGATCAACTTTGTGTATTTAAATGGTTTTATTTTTTTGTCAGCGGAAGAAATTTCAGGGGGGGTCAGAACCCTAGAACCCTACTCCTGCGTACGCCACTGCCTATATAATATTAAATATGACATCATTTATCTTAGAATTTTGAATATATCATATGTTATTGTATTTGGCAACATTCTACAACCGTGTAATCGTAGGTATTTAGTAGAGAAAAAGGGTTCCTCGCGAAATCTTATTCTAACCTTATATCATAAGTACCTAACTATAATACACAAAACACAAACATAATTCGCGTGTTCGTACGATTATAATTTAATATAAAATGTAGTACTTATATTTTAATAATGTAGTATTCGTATTATTAATTAGGTATTATCACGCGTAGTCGTTACATTGTACGTCATGGTAAGTTATTAAAATTTTTGGTCGTTTTCAAGTTTTCAACCGTATTTTGTTGATTTTCTTCTAGTGGTTCATCTGCTGCCCATGGTAGTGGTTCCGCGGAAGCGAAAATGGCATACAATGCAGCTACCACAAAACATATTAACGCCATCAGGAAAGCACTTTCGACTTCGGTAATTATCTGTGTTCAAATATAATTACGACGGTTAAGTTAATTTAATACAAATGAGAACATATAAAATACATTTATATTATTACCCCAGAACTCAATACCCTACGTACGACATTGACCCACAAAAAGTTGGAAATAAAATGTACGTTCAGCAGCAAGCCATTTAGTAGACTGACATATTTTGGCGCGATGTCGAAAATATTTATGTAGAATCCTATATACGAAACCAACGTGATTCAGATCGTGAACATATTGTAAAAAATAGTTTTCAATATTGTACGTTTTACACGCGTTTACACTTACCGAACAAACAAAGATATTGCATTTCTATGTTCATATAATAACATATTTTATTGGTCTTTAAATTATTGCCTAAAACGGCATCCACGATAAGAAATATGCCCACCGTGCCGAAATACGAGCAGCTCCAAAACTTTCTGACGTTGGAGGTGGAAATGTATGCGGTGATTTCTGGAACTAGTTCGACCAGAAGAACGAAGAGCAGCAATGATATGATGGTGTAATTTCTCATGGCCGATGCTTCCTACGTAATCGAAAATTCGTTAAAAACTAGTTAAGACAGAACTATAATAACGTAGGTAGGTACAGGCCCTATTTTTTAGTGAACCCCGACACGAAGTGTGTAGCCTGAAATTAGAAGTGTGCACTACGGATTTGATAAGTGTGTGCTAATGAATAAGACTATAAAAATAAATAGATTATAATTGGTAGGTAATAATGTACAATATAGTATAATATCTACATGGTACATATTATGTAGTATACTAATATTACACTAAGTATAGGTACATGAAATTAAAAAATAATTTTTAAAAATGAAAATCTCTTATGGTAGGTACCTACCAAAAATAAATTGTTTTCAGTTACATTTTAACAAATTGATATTTACTTCTCTACATTGAATCGCTAATGAACTATTATGAAGGTTTGGATACCTTTAGTTATTTCTGTGTTATGATTTTGACTCTCTTAAATTTATAAAAAGTTATGCCCCATATTTTGCTGAATAATATATCAATTTAAATTTAAATTCTTGGTCCTCTTTGTCACTGTGTCATAATATCATTGTAAATAAAGTGTGTAGTACGAATTTTTTTGAAAAATATTGGCTGGGTAGGTACACGTCTTATTAACAAGGCTGGGCCAGTTAACGTTTTTTTTAACTCGTTAAGTTAAGTTATTTTAAAATAATTAAGTTAAGTTAAGTCAAAAGTTAACTTTGAAAAAAAGTAACTTAACTTAGTGTAAAGTTAAAATTTGTCTAATTTGTAAAAATAAAAAAATCCAGACACATAATATGGTTGATTAGATAGTTTTTCTTTACGTCCAAGAAAATGACTGGGGAAATTTAAAATGGTACATCGATGTAAAAACACATAAAAAAATTTTCTTGGGACGAAAATTAACTTAATTTAGATATTTTTTAAATAAAATTAACTTGAAGTTAACACGTTAATCTTGAAAAAAAGTAACTTATTAAATTAAAAGTTAACTTGAAAAAAAAAGTAACGAGTTAATTAACTTAATTAAAATTAACTTAACGTTTTAACTTAATTTTAATTTTTAACTCGTTAATGCCCAGCCTTGCTTATTATAATAATGCGTTTATATAAAACACGTACGTCGGAATTGTTTAAATCATGTTCATTTATTTCACTAATTCGAGAATTGCAAACGTATAGCAAGACGATCGCAAGGATTGGCTTGGAAGTGCAAATCGATTTCCACGGAATGCCGGACACGACTGATCTGGTTAACGAAACGTCGGATTTTCCGGAAGAATATCGTGGGCTGTTGGAATCTCCGAACAAAATAAAATCGAGTTTCAGGCTCCGAAATGAATAATTTCCATTGATCGCGTACAACCACAAAACGTACCACGCCAATCCGATCGCACCTGTAATGAAGTACATCATGACGTACCGTGTAAATGTATGCAAAAATATGAAATTTGTATGCTATCCGGATATTCGTGTAGGGGAGACCAGGGTAAAACGGATAGCTGGGCAAAGTGAATAATGTCAATAACTTTTTTAATATTGGTGATTAAATAATAATATGAGCATAGGTATTATAAGTCGGCAGCAATGCGTAATATCGTCTTTTTTGCCTGGATAATTATTTTCTATCATTCACTACCTAGTTTACATTCACCATAAAAGCGCTTGTACGAAAATAGTAAGATTTCTTAAAAAAAATACATGACAAGAATTTAAGGTTTTTTAAATGATATTTATAAATTAACTTTTTTAAACTTAGTTTATTTTGTTCATAATTATTATACTAAGTTTATATAGTTATTAAACACAAGTTCCAGGGGACAACCCACTTAAAAAAAAAATATGTTTATTTAAGAAAAAATCAATCCGGGCAAAGTGGAAATAGGAAATATTTTATTTTTTATTTGATGGAGAAAATCTGAAAATATCATATCTCGTTTATATTATAATATGAAAAGATAATTTTAAATTCTGAGTGAAACGATTAATTTTTTTTTATTTTTGTGTCTGTCATCAAGTTTTAGGACAGTAAAAGTGCTTGAATTTTCTTCAACAGTATCTTTTCTGATAGGAAAGTGAATCTAGTTGTTACTTTGGGGGGGTCAAAAGTAAAAATTTCCCAGTAGTTTTCAAAAGCAAAAACAAAAGAAAAAATAAGGAAAACGGGTTTTTGAAAAAATAGATTTTGATTTTTAGTGTAACTCTTGAAAAAATTACCGTAGGTACATGAAATTTTGACTGAATGTTTATATTTGCATTTTCTATACACTATAAAATTTTCAAAATATTATGATATATTGTTTTGAACTGTTTACGGACATTTTCAGTTTCTGTTTTATTTACTTTTGTTTTCTATAAATATCAATACAATTTTATTCGTTGGTTAAAAAAGCTTAAAGATTTAATAGAAGGCTCCTATTATATTGTTTCAAAGGCAGATGAAAAAAAAATAAAAAACCATAGTCACAATATTTTTTTATAAGCATTTTAAGTTCAAATATTGACAAAATACTCAAAAATTACATAAATTTGCAAATTATTTTGAGTTAGAAATTCATAAAAAATTTTCTTTTTAAATCTAAGATTTTTAAATGTAATACAAGATTCCTCATAAGTTTGTCTACCTTTATAAAAAAAATTTCTAGAAGAAAGTCAAATTAAGTTTTTATGAGTGTTGAAATTCAAATTTTTACAACATTGGATATTCACTCGATTTCTCATGTAGTGATTTTCTTATTTTGTTGTAGGTAATTCAAAAACAAATAACTGTAGATACATACAATTTTACTGAATGTTTATTTTATCAATTCTTATAGTTGATAAAATTTTCAAAGTATTTTGATTTGTTTTGAGCTTTTTACGGGCAATTTCATATTTCATTTTTTTTTTTCTATGAATATCAATAAAGTTTTATCTGTTGGGTCAAAAAGTGTAAAAATGTAATAAAATTTTTATTTTGTTTTTATTTTTCTAAGAAGAATGTTATATTTTATGTTTTTTTTTATGATCATGAAGAATTAAATATAATATTTTAAAAATGTTGTTTTTTATTGTGAGTTAAATTATTAATATGTATCCGCATTCATATTATACAATTATTAAATGGATTATTATAAATTATTTATTGATCTCATTGTTTACCACTTTGCCCTCCATATGTTTTACTTTGCCCTATAGTATCCGGAAAAAGTGAATAAAATTCCGCTTTTAAAAATGTTTCTTTTTTTTATTAATTGAATGCTTATTAAATTTTTTGAAGAAATAAATATTGAATTTGAGAAGTCAATCTATGATTATATTAAAAATAGTTAATAGTAGTTTGAACATCATTTTTTGACACATAAAGTTAACCTATGCGTCTATGAGCTTTGCCCTGGTCTCCCTCACAGCTCAGTATTACGATTTAATTATAAGTGTAGGTGTAATACCAATAAATAGAGTTAACATATAAGATGAATTCGTATCGTGGAGTTTATCAACAGAATCATGTAGATAGTAGCCATCATATAACAACACGGACAATACCATTGGAACGTGACGGATTGACTGTTTATTCAGTGGAACCCAATAGGTCCAAACCCTGTTAAACGACACATCCACCACTGCCTATAATAGGACAACAAGGCACAAAACCCATTACAATTTACTACTGTGTGCTATGAAATTGCACTTAGCAATGAAGAATCTTATTTTTACCATTGTCGATCCTCTTAATAATTGTATGAAACAATGTGTGTCAGTGTTTAAGTACCTTATGCTCATGACTAAAATTAACTGAACAATCGACGATATGGCGACGAAAATTCCTAAAATACTGAAAATGTCGTTTTAAAATTAAACTACATTATCATAATATTTTTCGGTGACGTGTAGGGCTAGGATTAATACACGTTCGTTTTTTATTAGCATTACCTATATGCATCACCCGAATTGGAATTTGGTTGTATACAAGATAACAAAATCGACTAATTAAATACTTTTGTTTTGCATATTTAAATATTTTTGCACTAATAAGTAATAATACATGTCCAGTAGTCCGTGGAATTTTTTTTTTGTCAGAATTTAGAAATAGTTTTTTTTTCTAAAATTATTGTATTCAAAGTAGACATTTTATTTCGTAACTTGTACTTGGGGATTCATTGAGAGGGATGAAGCCTTTCGTGTTTTTAGGAGTGATATTTAGGCAATTTACGTGTCATTTACATTTTGGCTATGTCAATGTGTGAGTAGTATAATATACTTCATATTATGAACATTAGTGTGTGTAATTTTGTATCGCAATACATATCTAATATCAGTAAAATAATTAAGTCACTAACTGTAGGTAATCTATATCAACTATTTATAATATAACTTATAGTCCGTATAGATTACATAATGTGTAGGTTTGTATTTTGTATCAATATAAGTTTAAATCTCAAGAATTTGAATAAATTCTTTTACTATTATGTATTATTATGCATAGGCGTGCGCAGAGTTTCAGGTCAGAGGCAGCGATTATTTTAGTCGGCCCATTTTATCATATATACGGCCCACAGAACCATTAAAATCTATGTAATAAATTATATCATTATTTATAAAAAATACAATGAGTACAAGATAAAAATATTATTAAATTAATCCTATATTTAATTTGTTATGTAGATAAGTGATATACCTACTAGTTACTACAACTACAGAATTATAAGTTATAAAGTTTACTACATTGTAGAACATTATTTATTTTTTTATTGACAGTTTCTAATTTAATTAAAATTTTAACTAATAATTTTATACAATATAGATTAATATGAACATTGAACAATAAAAATAAATAATTATACTTCCTTTTTCCACAAAGGCACTAACAACTTTTAAAATTGTAAAAATGAAATTTATAATACAAGCCGACGGTCACTTTGAGTAAGGTGTTTGAATTCATCAATAACATCATTTATATCAATATTATTTGTAAGTTCTTTCTCAACAAATAAAAAAAGTAAGGCATTCAATCTTTCTTGACCAATTGTGTTCCTCAATTTGTTTTTAACGATGGTTAATTTAGAAAAAGTGCGTTCACAAGTACAGCTTGTAACTGGAATAATAGAAAACATTTTGAGACAATGATAGAATTGTTTATATATAGTTGATCTACTAAACTGACATAACCAATCAAGCCAATGATACACAGAAGCTGAATTTGTTCCTCTGGGTGTATCTTTGTGAGCCTTTAAAATTTTTACTTCAGCAATTAATTCATCAGTTGACGCATTAAAATATTTAGATAATAATTCATAATTTGATTTTTCTATCTCATCAGATAAATTCACCAACATTCCAACAGAACTGATCAAGTCTAATGTGTCTTGTTGAAATCTTGAGTTTAAGCCTTGACATAGTGTGTCCAAAGTTGAATAAAAAACCAACACCCTCAGTTTTTCCCTTTTAGTTTTAAAAATATATTGATTAGTACATGAATCTATTTTTGTTGAAATTCTTTTATTTTTTACAATGGGAATTTCAATGTTCATTTCTTTACACATTTTTACTGTGTTTTCAAAGATATGTTCATAATCTTGAGAAGAATTTCTTAATGAGTTTAATGAGTCTTTCAGTGATCTTATTGTTATTTTATTTACTGAACAGCTAGAGCGTCTTTCCCGGTCTTTTACTCTCGATTATCAGAGTAGGTAAAGACGTTTATTATACAACCTTTATACAACCTACACTATACAGCCTGCCTTGACTGGCCCTGGTTCAAATTGACCAGCAATATTATCTAGACCAGCCCTTCCGGGCCGGTCAGGGGCAGCAAGAGCACACCCTGCTGCCCCCGTGCGCACGCCTATGTTATTATGTCTATAAATATATTATATATAATTTATATTGCATGTAAAATATAAATCCTAACCCTTTATAGATATCATAATATAACGATTAAGGATATTTTATTGGAGTATCAATCGATTACTTGTGAGCCGGATAAACAGTGGCTAAGACACCACCTAGTATTGCACCAATATAATATCCATGCGCAATGTAATGCATGCAATCGTAATGTGAAAAGTTAACCTGGAATTACATTATAACATTATTAATTAAATGCATAAGTAGTATGTTGTAATGTACAAGCATTAATAATTAATAAGTAATAACAAGGGTTGGGAGCTTATAGCTCTTCAAATAATTGCATAAATATGCGCCTATAATATTACCTTAAATATGCGCTAAAAAATATGCATTAAAAATAACGAAATATGCAGATAAAAGGAAATTTATTAATTAATAACTTAATACCGAGACAAAATTGATAAATATCCATGAATACCTACCACTACATATGCGCTAAAAATATGCAATAAAAACCATAAAATATACCATATATAGGTAAAGCGGAAATTTATTAATTAATAGTTTTACACTTTCACCCCCCCCCCCCCAAAAAAAAATCAGCAGATAACAAAAGTTTAAAATAAAAAACCAAATAATATGAAATTATGAACGGCACGAACAACCTAGCATCAGCATTCAGAGCGACCTCGTAATCTGTCCATATTTACTTAATAATATCTATAATAATTATAATATTTACTTTGACAATTCGATTGACAATAATATAAAAACACGTTAACTAAAATATAATTGCATAAATCATGACCAATTTTGAATTAAAAAACAGATAAAAATGCAAAACATCTCAAAAAGTCCAAAAATAGCACTAAAATCTAAATAATCGCAAAATATATTACGCAAAATAACATTTTTAATTTTGAGTTCTCTGCATCATGAAACACATTTTTAGCTCACTCTGCTATCCCATAAGATAATATATGAAAATGCTATAAAATCCCAACCCTATAGTTATTATTATAAAAACAATAATTATTGGACTAACAGTCACTCACTTGATTTTTTAGTCCCATAAACCAAATAAAATTATAAAATATACTCAATTGAAGCGCAGAGATAAAGACTCCTATAAAAAAATTAGATTATCATACACACAACATACATAATAAATTATTAATTATTATGTATGTTATGGTAAAAGTACAAATAAAGGGGAAATGTACAGTCTTGTAAAAAATACATTTCAAGGTGACAAATGATTAAATATAATGTAACATAAACCTTCTTAAATAATAATCAAAAGAACACATTTTGATTAGGTACTTTAAAACGGTTACATTTAATTTTTTAGTCCGTAAACAATAATACAACAATTAACAACCAAACCTATATTTATATATTTTTTTAAATTAAATTTAAATATTTTTAAATAAGACGACAAAAAATAAAAATTATATTTGAATTCAATTCAGAATATAATATAGTATGTAGATATATCTTATATCATTATATAATAACCAAAAAACTCACAAAACAACATTTATTACGTTCGTTTAGCAGTATATTATTGAATGGAATCACGGACGTTTCGCCCCCGTCAAAAAAACCAGTAAACGGACGTTTCGTCCCTGGCAATTATTGAGATAAGACATTTCGTCCCGGAGAGTTATTAGCCATAGGACGTTTGGTCCCCGTCATATTATTTCCATTAGGTATAGGACATTCGGTTCTCAGGTTATTAATTACTTCAAAGTGCATTATTTTACTAATATTTACTACATTTATTAATTATTTTTAATGAGCAATTCTGTAATGTCTCATATACAGTGTTGTAAAGTATTCGAGTAAAAGTATTCAAATTCTTTTTTCCGTATTGAATACTTTTTTTTATTCTTTTAATTCTTAATTTGTTTCTACTTATAATTAAATAAATACCATACCGTCGTGGTTTTACTCTAACATTACAACAATGTAATATTATATATTTATTTAACTACTTTATTTTAAGAGTAGGTATTTGATACGGAGAGTATTCAATACAGATGTGCAATGCGTCTGCAGCTACTGCATTGGTACAAAAACAAAATGAAATAATAAATGTACTGAAAATAGTTAGTTTTAAGGAAAATAAATTTTATTTCAATCATAATACTGTACAGGATTTCAATATAATGACGATAATTACATTTTATACTATTTATTTAAAAAACATAAGTCAGTTGATCTAAAAATAAATATATAATTTATCTTAATATTATAGTATTTAATTTTAATTTATTAATGTTTACTACATTTTGTGTTGACTTAATACAATTGTGATTTATTTAAATCTTGAATATTTGTAATTGTATTGTATGAATATATTGATTAGTATTTGTATATTTTGTAGTGTTGTCATTTAAAGATGAAATTGTTCATTAAAAATTAATGTATTTATATTATCAAAGTATACCGGGGACCAAACGTCCTATGGCTAATAACTCTCCGGGAAGAAAAGTCCTATCTCAATAATTGCCGGGGACGAAACGTCCGTGGACTGGTTTTTTTGACGGGGACAAAACGGCGGGGGCGAAACGTCCGTTTACCTATTGAATGTTGCTATATAAACATTTTACAGTAGTTCTAAACTTCTAAGTCCGTATTTAGCAGATTACAGGGTGATTCATCAAATATGCTCACTCCCATTTTTTAAATTTTATTTATTTAAATTTTGATTTTTGGAATTCTTAAATATTTAAAAGCAGCTTTTTAAAATTCTTGATTTTTTAGTATCACCACAGCTAGGACACTAAAGTATAGGTATCTTAAACTTTCAAATATTATTCTTATTATGTACTGTTTGATGTTCAATCGGTATATAGGTTTGATTATTGGTATTTAAACTACCCAATATCCATATTATGTATTAAATACCTATGTTAGGTACGTACCTATACGCTGTAGGTAGTCGTGGTACATTTTATCTAAGAACCGTCGAATAATTAACGCGATAATATATTTATATTATTATATGGATGGCGACTATAGACAAACCTGGGTGGCGGGGATGTAACAAATCAACAAATCAAAAGGTACCACCGGTACCAGATAACGGTTCACTACCAAAATAATAATGTTTGAATGATAATATTGCTGGTAGACGGTTGAAGACAACTTAGACAACTGAACGTTACCGGAACGTCGGCAGCTAACACAGAGCTATACATTTTATATTAAAGGAGCACACAGCACAAAAAATAAGTTTTTTTATTTGAAAGAATGTTTAATTCTAAGGATAATGGTATAGGTTTTACGTTTTTACTCACATTATTCAATAAGTTATGAGCAATTGAAAAAAGACGTGTGACGTCACTGGCCGGCCTCAGTCATTGTAATCGCCTATCTTATACGTGTAAAAGTTCCTTGCTTCACACAAGTCACAACGATTTATCAACCTAAACATTTTATTTTTGCAATTTAATTGACGTATAAATGTGTGGTATTATGTGTTTAAGACGATGCAAGAATCAGAATTTCAATATGACGTTTAGTTTTTTAAGTATTAAAAATCTTAAAACAGTCATTTTGGTTAAACCGTACGTCATGGCAAGCGGCGGGTGGCCCGTTTAACCAAAATGACTGTTTTAAGATTTTTAATACTTAAAAAACTAAACGTCATATTGAAATTCTGATTCTTGCATCGTCTTAAACACATAATACCACACATTTATACGTCAATTAAATTTTAAAAAGAAAATGTTTAGGTTGATAAATCGTTGTGTGAAGCAAGGAACTTTTACACGTATAAGATAGGCAATTACGATGACTCCGGCCCAGTGACGTCACGCGGCTATTCTACATCTCTTAATATCTCTTAGAGTAATATTTTTTTTTTACATCGTATCTTCACAAAATCATTTCATATATTAACCATAACTACAATAATTTAACATTTAAAAAAAATTTAAAGAATTTTTTTATTTGTGTTGTGTGCTCCTTTAAGAGGACGTTACCCATATATACATTAATTGTTGTCTCCGTCTTACACACGCACGACATAGCAAATTGTCGTTCACTAGTTTCAATAGTATGCAGTTAGTTTTGATACTAGAGTGAATTGACCTATTATAACATATTTAGATAATAACATTATATGTGCTTCAGCGTTGGCTTTTATTCGATATTTTAATTTTCAAGCGAGATATGAGCATTTTAAATTTTTGATATTTCACGTACACATATCTCACTTGAAAATGAAAATATTTAAAAATCGCCAACGCTCAAGCACAGATAATATTCTTACCTAATAGAATGATAATAGGTCAATTCACTCTAATATCAAAACTAACAACACACTATTTAAAATAGAGATTGGAAATTTGGTATGTCGTGCGTGTGTAAGACGGAGACAACAAATACATGGGTAGCGTCCTCTTAAGTATTAAATTATACATTAAAATTGTCCAGTGATGGGGATAAATTCTTACCGACTGCAGCATACACTACAATTTACCTATAATTCCAAGCAATACTACTGCGTATCCTCTGTTCCAGTACGTAGTTTTCAAACGGATAAACCTGTCGACGAATCTGGATGGCGGTTGTTCTGGTAATTGGATTTCGGGTGGAAAATCCCGTCTACCGGATCTACTGATCGCGTTTTCCTCAGAATTCATCCTCCGGTTTGTACGATAAATCCGTTGGCCAAGACGAG